AGAATTGGTTTAGTGGAGACTTTTGCATGGAAACCAATCACATCCGGAGGAGCACTCACTCATCTCTTAAGAGGACGGCACCAAGCTCAACATCTGTGACATTTGCAGATTGTTATTCACCTAAGTGAAATTCACACGAGTGCAAAGGGTCTCCAGAAGGCCCTAAACACCAAGAAAAACCCACTTAAGCCCTTACTAAAAGTGTAAGTGGTTTAGAGAACCTTGCACAGGCCTGCTGCGCTGTGGTGATTTTACCACCAAGCATCAGAAACCACTACATAGTAACATTCTTTCAAACAGGCAAGACGAGGTGGCCAGAAATCAAGCCCTGTCTGTCTGTTGGATCCTGAATAATGCAAAACTCCCTCTAGGACAGTGGTTTTCAAACTTTTTTTCTGGGGACCCAGTTGAAGAAAATTGTTGATGCCTGTGACCCAGTAGCCCTGAGGAAGAGGGGTTTGGGGTGTGGGAGGGGGTCAGGGCTCTGGGGTGGGGCCAGGGATGAGAGGTTTGGGGTGCAGGAAGGGGTTCTGGGGTTGAGGGATGCTCAGGGCTAGGGCAGGGGATTGGGGTGTGGGGTTGGGGCATTGGCTTACCTCTGGTGGCTCCCAGTCAGTGGTGAACCCGGGGTGCAGAGGCAGACTTCCCGCCTGTCCTGGGACTGCAGACCGTACTGCACCCCGGAAGCAGCCAGCAGCAGGTCTGGCTCCATGGCGGGGGTGCGCAAGCGGCTCCATGCGGCGCTCTCCCACAGGCACCGCCCTCACCGGCCAATGGGAGTGTGGAGCTGGTGCTTGGGGCAGGGGCAGCATGTGGAGCCCCGTGGCCCCCCTGCCTAGAAGCCGGACCTGTTGCTGGCCGCTTCTGGGGTGCAGTGTGGTGTGGTAACAGGTAGGCACTAGCCTGCCTTATCTGGGCAGCACTGCTGATGGGACAGGGCAGGGTCAATTCTCTGGGGAAGAAAGAGACTCCAGCAGCAACTCTATGCCCTTCCAGCCCTTGGTTCCTCAATACTCAAGTATGACTATTGCGAACTGCTCGTGTCTGCAGAGACAAGAGCAGATTGTCGGAGAAGTGGTGCCCAAGGGATGCTAGAAGAGAAACTGTAGAGTGAGGACAAAGGCATCATAGGTAAGGTTTGGAAGGAGAATGGAGCAAGATTAGTCATGACAAAATGAAATAATACTGGTTGGGAAGGCAAGGGCTGGGGAAATATTTGGAACAGTGACCGGCACTTCCGTAAGTTAAAAGTTGAGATTTTCACTTAAAGCAGAGATTCAACCACTTTGTTACACATGAAGAAAGTGTGACTAGAGGGCTAATCTTTCAAGATACCCTCTTTCAAAATGGCCTCGGACTCCTATTATGCCCTATGGGAGTGATGCCAACCTGCCCTCAAAGAAGATGGCGGCCTGAGTCCACAACTTCCCTGAGTAAAGCTTGGCTTCACTCTCATTGGGAAAAATGGGAGGCAGTGGTCAATTTGAAGGAGGGTGTCTTTGCAAAGGGCATTTTCAGCCTCCTCCTACTGAGACCCATAGGAGATGGCAGCCATTCTGAAAGAGGAGAGTCCTTTTTCGAATTCTCTGTTGTATAACATTATTCTTCAGCCCATGTTAATGAAGAAACTTTCACATTTCAGAGTAGCAGCCGTGTTAGTCTGTAACCGCAAAAAGAACAGGAGGACTTGTGGTATCTTAGAGACTAACAAATTTATTTGAGCATGAACTTTCATAGGTTACAGCCCACTTTATCGGATGCATAGAATGGAACATATAGTAAGGTGTGTGTGTGTGTATATATACACACACACACACACACCTTACTATATGTTCCATTCATACACACACACCTTACTACATTCTATGCATCCGATGAAGTGGGCTGTAGCCCACGAAAGCTTATGCTCTAATAAATTTGTTAGTCTCTAAGGTGCCACAAGTCCTCCTGTTCTTTTTGAAGAAACTTTCAGTTATAAAGAATAATGGCAAAAATGACCATTATTCCTATTTTCAAAATTGACCTGTTGAACCAGATCTACTCATATTTATATTTAAGAGGTGAGAATTTCACTGCAGTTCTACCCCCTTTATGCCACATGAAAGGGCCAGAGCAGTATAAGTGGGCCTTAAAAGCCCAATATTTTACCAGGGGAGGACTCCTCCATTGCAGGAGCTGTGAAAGTCAGCCCTAAGGCTGTCTTCTGAGGACCCTTTTGCAAGCCTTGGTTTAGGAGGTATATACCAGGGGCAGGAAGGGTGTGTTGGGAGTGGGGCAGCAGCACTGAATACTGCATAGATTCCAGGCCAACAGGGCAGCCACAGGAGGTTATGTTATGCTAGGGACCTCTCCAGTTCCCAGAAGCAGCTCAAAATTGGGAGGTCAAAATGATGGCTTAAAAACAGCCTAGTCCCTCCTCCCACCATATGTTTTTCTTTTCTTATGTTATTGTTTCAGTGCTACTTATAAACTTTTTTCTAAAAGATATTTTTAAAGTTGTTTTAAGGCAAATACATCTTCCTTTTTTTGCTTCGCTTCCTTTGGGGGGGGGGGGTGTACTTTTTTCTGTTTACATTCACAGAGGTTTCAGTTCTCTTTCTAATTATTTTTATACTTTTATTGTGTTTTATTTCACCTTTCTATTCTATGTATTTAGCACTTGTTTCAATTTAATTAAAAAGTCATTGAATCTTGTCTTTTCTATTTGAATCCTAACATTCTTACTCAGGTAAACTTCCCTGGGAGTAAAACTTCAGGAGTGGAAACCTAGATCTATTGAAATAGTCTCTAAGGTGCCACTAGTACTCCTTTTCTTAATTTGATTTCAGTAGATCTAGGTTTCCACTCTTGAAGTTTTACTCCCAGGGAAGTTTACCTGAGTAAGATAAATCCCAACAGTGTTGGATTTCACCCATCATTTAAGTTTTTCTCTGTTTACATGTTTCACTTGCTATAGAAAACAATCAGTTTTGCAAACAGATTTTCTTTTTGTTATTTATATCTGCCCTAGGAAAGGTGATACCCTGTATATGGCACTGCTGCTAAACATTAATACCTCACACCTCTATCTGTGATGCTTAACTGTGACAGTAATATGCTACTTGTAGTTGAAAATACCCTGGTTGCTTGTGTGAATTAAATCTACATAAATACCGATGACTATGAAATCCACCTTTGAAAGTTATACCTAACAACAGTATGCTAATTGGGGATGAGCAGAGAATATTTAAACATCAGAGTTTAAAATTAAAGAGACAACTTGAAGCTCTGATTCTGAAAGTAGCTAAAGAATTTTTCCTTGACGACATGGAGTGTCACTTGAGCATTCTTCATGTCTTCGCCTCAAAAGAGAAGAGGTGAACATTAGTTTCTCTTTTACTTTCTAGACAACAGCAGAGTTCAGGGTTCTGTTTTTCCACCACCCTCGCTGGAAACATCATTAATGTGCAGAGCAGTGTAAGGAGTGCGGCTTCCTTTATTTTGTTGTTGTTAGCAATGGGGTCAACTTCAGCTGCAGATACACAGATTCTGGAGTGGTAGAACTCAGGTCCTAATGGGCAAGAAACCTTTTGCTTAGCTCTAAAACGTTGGTGTTGTAGGCCCTGGCTGATTTGTGCTTTGGTAAATGGCAAACGCACAAATCCTTATTCAAAACAAATATATGGGTTTGGAGCTTAATGGAACACAGAAATGTGAGACCATGCTACTGTGCTGAGAGTGGGGCTGGCATTGGTAGCATCACACACCCAAGTGCCTTACCATGTCTAGCTCCAGCTAAAGCTCTGACACTGGCCTATAGTCTTCCTCCTCTGTCCTGACTTTTTAAACATTCTCCCCGCTGCTGATGCTGATAACTGGGGCAGGGACCGGCTCTCTTTGCTCTTGCAGCAGCTGTCTTGGAGTTGCCATGGGAATGAAGAGGAACTGGCTGGCAGTCTACAGCAAGAGAGGCCCTCATTGTCTTCCTGCTCCTCTTGATTACAGCAGAAGCTACCAAGACAGCAATAATTTCAAGCACCGAGCACAGCTGTAGAGAATGAGTGAAGGCAGCTGCCACCAGCTTCCTGTGAAGGAGGAGACAGCCTCAAGCTCTACCTCCCATCCTTTCACTTGCAGATAGGATTGTGAGGCTTTGACCCACAAACTGTACACATTTGTAGCTGTGTATGATGAAATAGTGACCCAAATTACCTAGCACCTCAGACACCATGGTAAAGCGCACACTGTCAAAACCTAGACACCTAGGTTACTGTAGACAGATAAACTAATGCTTTGAAAGGTCTGTTGTAGCAACATATAATACAGTACTTTAGGTTGACTATGCGGATATGAAGTTATATGCTCTTGCTTAAGATCAAGTCCAAGCACCAGACTATAATACAGAGTAAAAGGCCAGCACAGACCACCTTCTCATTTGTGCACGATCTCTGTCTAAAGAAAACAACTTGATTTGTGGTAGGCACCCAACTAATCCAGAACTAATTCTCTTTCCTGTCATGATCATGGACAAGGACACATAAATATAAGCACATACTTATGGGAGATGATGGATTTTCTTCATCTTAACAATAGTAGAGCCATTGTTTATCCATGGTTTTATCACACACATCAAGCATTGCTCCAAAATGCACCAAGCAGGACACATCTTCACTTTTCAGTGGCACTGTACCTATTATATGTTCTATGATCTACAGCACATTGTAAATACATCCCTACTCTTCAGTAGGTAAAACATTGCTTTGGAGTATCTAGGAAGGGCTGCTAACAGAGTGGTACAAGGCACTTTCACTTCTACTGGAGACTGAGCATACCACATCTGCAACATATTCCAGCCCCTGCTATCCTAGTATTAAATTCTCCTATATGATCATGCTCTTAACTAATGCTAGACCAATTATATCAAACACATCTGGGATAAAGAAAAATTAAAAAACAATCCCAATGCAAATGATTTACAGATTCACATAGGAGTGCTACAGTAATTTAAATGCTCTACTTACTTTTCTGAACACAGTGGTCTGGTATGGGAGCTAGATTGTTCCGTACAGGAGTAAGGTCTTTTACTTTGAGTTGGTCTAGGGACATCTGTTGAAAACTTTTCCCTGTGATAGAAAAATATATACATACTATATGTACTTAGAAATAATATGGAGCATGACAGTACTCTACTTGCTGGTAGACCAACAACTTCTGTGTTAATATTCAGAAATGGGTACCTTCATATCTACAGAAAACCAACTGAAAATGGCTAGACAGAAGGTCACTGGGGATTGCTGATATTTATTTATATTCATTTATAAAAATGAGTTGACATCATTAAGTTGTGCACATAACAAGCCTATATAACAACATGACCTTGTTACTGTCACTCTGGTTCCTGTTCTCTCATATTGTGCATAACACTCATTTGTACTGTCTTGTTTAAAATGGGCCCAAAATCTTGTAACTAAATCCACATAGGAAGCCAATAGGGCTGCACACTTGTGTGTGCGTCCATCCATAGTACAGTTTGCTGTTCCCACTTCTGAAATGAGGTATTGAAGTCAGTGTTTCTTAGTTACTGTCCTCTATGTAGACAAATGTAGTTCATCTCACCAGTCCTGGACCAAAGGCCTGATTCAAAGCCCATTGAAAGCAATGGGGGTCTATCCACTGGCCTCTATGGGCTTTGGATCAGGCCAAAATAGCTTTGCTAAAATATGAAGAACACCTCTGAAAATCAAAGATTTTGCCCCACCACTAGAGTCTAAATGTAGGTGAACTCCCTAGACCTGCTTTTCCTTTGTCTGGCAGTCTGTTTAGTTCCTAATGCTTGTACCAAACGGCTGTAAAATACTGTCATTATCTTACATCCACTTTGCACTAGGATAAATGATGACATAAGCTTCAAGGTAACAGAGAATGTCCATCTGCTTCCATTACTATAGTCAAGTTGTGTTTGCTGTATTGCGATGCTTTAAATTGGAAGCTGTTGGTTTTGCTTAATTTGTATGTATTTGTATGAGTCTGACTTTGGAATTTTATTTTGCATAAGAAAATGACTTATTTCTTAAATGGGGAAGTGTGGTCACATAATGGCCATAGAGCATAATTATATGCTTTGATATGAATGACTGGGAGACAATCCTTGTTGTTGGTTAGAAGGTCTGGAATAAAGTGGATGTATATCAGCATGCAGAGAGAATTTATCTTCCTCCAAAATATTTTCTTTGGGCCCAAGGTACAGACTTTTGATGGCATTTGTTTTTGTATGAGGTAGTAAGGATATGCTGTTTTGATTGCAAAATGTTGTAATCTCTGCTGGCATTTTATTACATTGCCAGTTTTATGATAGCTGGCATTGCAGCTGTGTTGTTGCTCTTTGCTCCCCATTTGCAAATGGGGACATGATCCCTGCAGGGGGGTTTCAAGTGGCACAGAAATAACTTCTGATGCATAGGGTATCATAATTTACCCCTTAGCTTTGAAAAGATCAGCTATTGCCCAGCTCCTTGCCCTCTATGCCAAAACATGTTCCCTTTTTTATTATTAGCCCATTTTTTAGATTACCCTGTCATAGCACTCAAGATATCCTGGGTGCTGTACAAACACATAACAAGGTCTAGTCTTGTGCCTGATGGCTTAGCAATATGCACAAGAAACAAATGAACAATAAAGAAGGGTGGGAGGTGGTTACATGGTGCGGGTCGGAAACATCTTGTGCACCTGCCTTTCCACCCTATACTGGGGATCCCTTTCCCATATTGCTTGGAATTTCTGTAATTTAACTCCTTTCCGTTCCACAGAGTAGATGAAGGGTTGTGTGTGTTTTACTGGCAAGGCTCATTTAAGCAAAATATTCTGTATCGCTGATGCCAACTCAAAGCTGCAGCTGACAGGAGTTTCTGCTGCAATGTTGCCAATGTTTTTTGGGATAGTTGATCCTCCTTGTTCTACCCGGGTCATGCGCTGATGGAGACAATCCAAGACAGTGTTTTTGTTCTAAATTTGTGCCAGTGATAAGATGGTGAGGCTCAAAATGCCCGATGCTACCAACACCACACTCTGCCCTTTGAATAAATGTCAGGTATCAGTAAATAGATCAGCTGAGCTTTCATTGCCAAGAGTACAAAAAACCACCAAGAAATCCCCAGTTTCATGACAGATGTCTCAGTAGCATTAGCATAAAATATAGCTCTAAATTTTAGCAAAGATAACTCCATTTTAGGGCTTAAATGCTGAATTTCAGCTGAGCTGACGACTTGCAAATTAACTTCAGCTACTAAAACCCCCCCAGATGACTGATAATCATAATTTTGTCCTATATTTTCAGTGGATAGGAAGTTATATGTAGCAACCATTGTCAGTATTGAAAATGGAGGAAAAGAATATTAACATTTAATCCCTGTAAAGAGCCAAAATGTATCTTTCTCTCTTATCCCTACCCCCTGTGCAAAGATGAAGAAAATGGTGGGCTTTATGAAAGGGCCTCCCCTATATCAAGCCCAGCTGTCTGGTGGGGAACCTTAATTTACTTCCAAACATCTACGATCCTGCAGGCAGGGAAATGCTGTGAAAGCTATGGAGGATAAAAAACCCAGAGCTAAAGTAAGAGCCAAGAGGCTCTGAATTCATAAAGTAAATGCAGTGTTAATAACAGGGATGCAGGTGTCCCTAATTACAACAGCAGACAGATTTTAAACAACACACACAGCTCTTTTCTATCATGAAATTTTAAGACAATACCTGGGCTATGCAATATGTTCCCATCAACTAGCGAGCTGCCTGTTTAGGTGCCCTTGTTTTATTCATTTCAATGGATGTCCTCTATTCTAGCTTATGGGAATCTTCTTACTGTTGGAAAATTTTCCTTGTTAAAGAGCAGCTGAGCTTGTACACAGATTACTGAACTCTCATAGTGCTCCAGCTTTATTTAGTAAGTTAATTTTCTAACTGTAATTTTTCATACCTCTAAGGTAAATTGCAAACCATTACAGATAAGGGGATACATTCTTCCCTTTGATACACAAAGAGCTCCCACCATAATGAGTTAACTGTTTCCTGTAGGTTCCATACGTGGGCCATGATCCTGCAAGCAGACCCAAGCAGGCAGAACTTTACACCCACCCCAAGCCCCATGGAAGTTAATGGGGTCTGTATGTGGATACAAATGTCTATTTGTTTCAATTCATTTGCAAGATTGGGGCTTTAAGACACAGAAAACTCTTGGAAGGATAGCAACTAGGTGATCCTGTCTGTCCGTCCATCTCTCCCTCCCTCCAGCATAGTAGGATTGACCCTTACCATATTATGCCTTCTTAAGAAAAGCCAACAATCTAGATTTAAATTACTTAAGTGATAGGGCTTTCATCACTTCCCCAGGGAAAGTACTCCACAGACTTGGGGAATGTTTCCAAATATTCAGTCTCCGTTTTCCTTTATTCAGTTTTATCCCATTTCTCTGAGTGAAAACCTCTTGCATGACCCTAAATGATTCCTCAGCCTCCTTGGTTTTAGTTTACGCTTGGGTTGCAAAAAAGTCCGACAGGATTTGTTTCTTAAGGGTTGTGTGAAGTGAACCCTGATGAATTCAATCTAGAGATGATTGCATCACATCAATCACTGCTAGTTCATCTGGAGTCTTGGGTGCATGTAGTGAGAAGGATGGCAAAGGGGAAGGTAGGGAAAAAAACATCCCTAGGCAGAGATCTGGGGTCCCAGACTGTGTGAATTTAATCAGCCAAGGTCTGTCAAACTTTTAGGAACCTGGCTCTACTTAACCCTCTACAAATAATTTCCAGCCCTTATTTGCATAACATCAGTTATTCTGAAATTATCTTGTCTACAGAGTCTCTATTACAAATGTAATGAAAGTTCAGCTACTGTGCAGTAAGTAGCTTAGTGGATTGTTCAGTCTTCACTGCCATGCAGGAGGCAGCCATGGCTCAATAGTGATGCATCTGACCAGTTAAGGGTTTGTATCAGAAAGGAGTCCTTTCCAATCCTCCTTGAACTGAAGGATAGTGGGCTCTGACATAGTCCCTCAACAGCAGTGGTGGTAGATACAAATACTTAAATTACATCTATTCTTGGAATTGGTGTACAAATAGCGGGTTTTTTTTGTTTAATTTTCAATTTGCATCTAGATATTATGGTGCTTGGTGCACTCTAAGATCCCACTTTGGGAAGGTACGTAAACATGTGCTGAACTTGAAGCATGCGAGAAGTACAATTGGGAATGAAGTTAAAATTGCTTGTATGCTTAAGTTATTTCCTGAATCAGGGCCTGATAGACAGATTCATGAAGAGACAGACGTGAATCAAAACATGGGATCCCAAACTGCCAAACGTCAGCTCCAAATTCACTTCAGAACCTTGTAGCTCAGGCTCTTCTTTAGTTTCATTATCATTATAGAACAGCTTACAAAATACTAGGTAAAAGCATTTACTTTCTCAGTAAATTTACCAACTTTAATTCAGCACTGAAGACAACATAAACTTGAACACAGCACATATAACTGAAGTGCTGAAAAGACAATATATTAACTAAAAATCTCTTAAGATGCTGTTTTGGAAGTCCTACTGCATACAGGAAGAATAAACTAAAAAAATTAGAAATATCAGCAGTCAGACTTACCTATATTTCCAACATGCCCCTATCCAACCTGCCATGTCTGTAGAGATTAGATGATACAGGGGATATTGAACAAAGAAATTACCTGATGGAGAACTAGGCAGATAGGGAAGGTGGGGAGGGCACAAAAGCACATGGCTGGATCTTTCAGAGAGTAAACCATCTATCAGTTTATCTGAAGAAGTTGCAGTACAGACTTTATATGAGAGTATTTGGTTAGCATCTGTGTTCCAAGGATTGTCTGATAAAGTCTGGCAGCTACTTCTGTGATTTAACAAGTCATGTTCACTTCTACTTTTCTGAGACCTGTGTGCAAAATGGTAGGCATTAGTAGCCAAGCAGACACTTGAAGTTGCACTGTAGGAAGTTGTTCGAAAAGATTTGTCTATAGTAATGGGGGGGAGACTTTGTGTTCTTATTGGAGGAAGTCCATTACACTCTGGCTGCTTCTTTTCTGATATGAGGTACTTCTGGGTGTCTGTGCTTCTTCTTTTAAAGTCAACAGTGGTCATACATTCCTCGGAGTTGTCTTTACAGTTCGTGTCCATAATGCAATCAAATGTAGTGATAATGTCATCAACTTCCGAGGTCTCTTCCCTTTGATATCTGTCTCTGCCTCTGTCTTTCTGGTTTGTTTTCTGATCATCTTTCTTCTTTTTGCAGGAGAAGATTTGGTTAAGCATACTGAATCTTCCTTCCTTCTTTAGGATTTTATTGTTCTGTGAAGGAGGGTGATGGACTGGCTCAGATCTACTAGAAAATAATAAATAAATAAATATGAGAACGGAAAGTGGAAATCCTTCAGAGTTTTTGTACAAATGTCCTGAATCTTAAAAGAAATCTTGCCTGTCTTAGCACACAAAATGAAGACTGTCATATCCAGAAGAAGCTGCAGGAGTAATTTAAGTAGGTTGAATGGTATTGCCAAAACTGGAATGTAAAGGACATTTATGATCAAAAAAGAAACTAAAAACGGTGCCTTCTGACTCAACTGATCTGCTTTTTGTGTGTATTAAGAATACATTAGATGGTGATGCATTAGCCAAAAATAACAGAGCTTAACTCAAATGCCAGGCTGAATTTACAGGGCAGGTAGTTAAAAAAACAACCTTTTTTTAATTTGGAAACTGAGTACATTTGGTCTGGAATCTTTGAGACATTAATAGATTTGGAACCTGGGGTGCCAATTTTGTGGGCAGTTTTCAGAGTATAAATGCACTTTATGCCAGTACACTGGGACTCCTTTTAACAAGAAAAAATGCATTGGGATCTTGAAAGACAAAGCAGCCTTTGTTTTATGTCAAATTTGAAAGCTGGTATTTCCAACTGCACAGCGATTGCTAGCACCACGTGAGGGGCAATGGTTCAGCAAAACAAAGCCACCGTTAAATCAATACCATTTTTTTACTGTGCCCCAGGACTTTCCTTGGAGGTTGCTCATCCAAGTGCCGAGCAGACCTCACACAGTTTTGGGAGCTCTAAAAAGATCATAGTTTGACGTAGTCTGGCTTCAGCAGGTTTTACAGGAGGCTGTTGCTGCCTAAATAATCAACTTCTAGAGGCTGCTCAGGAAATAGAGTTTGCAGCAGCCTCAAAGATCATTTGAAGTACGTCTCACCCTTTGTACACAGGAAATAATACTGACTGCTGATTGGAAAGAAAAGGGCAGGATAAAGAAATGTGACAAAAGTCTGAAAAAGAACCCAAAAAGCATGATAGCTTTCAGTCTTTATAAGTGAGTTTTTCTACCAGTGAAGGAGAACCTAAATGAACAAAATTGGAGCCATTGATAAAAGGAAAAATAATTGGTAGACAGACAAATAATAAAGCCTCTTTAATAGAAGAGGTTTAGAAAAGTGAAAACATGTAGACAGCAAGGCACAGAAGTAATCATAGACAAAAACATTTTATCAAGGGTGAAAACTATTTTAAAGTTATGGGTATGAAAGCTTACATTATTAGCCATTTATTGAACATGACTATTATATTTAGTGGGGCAAATTCTGCCATAGTTACATGAACCAATGGTGGTTACATGAACACATAGCTAACCTCCATGGGCTTCCACAGAAGGCAGATATTTGAGGGCAAAAATTGTCCCATAAAGTGTATTTTGTGCAGGAGACATTGCTGTATTGATTTACAACTAAATTCATGTTTGATTTGTTCTGAACCCTACAGTTATTATTCTGAACCCTATCTGAGACAGGTCATTCATTAGTTGACTGACTTTACCATTGCTATTTATAGTGAAGAATGTGAACCAATCGTTGTATAGGAACTGCAAATTAATTTCAGTAGTTACGCGGCTCTTACACTCCTCAGTAGCATGCAGAGAGAAGGAAATGTCATTTCTTTCCTACTGATATACTGTTCTAGCAAGTGACCTGCTGGCAAAAGCAAGAGGTTCTTTGATTTCTTGTTCCTTTACCTGTTCTCCTGAGAGAGCAGCTTGATGCATGCTGTGTGCCCACAGTACAAGGCGTATGTCAGAGGAGTGTTTTCATTGATGTCCCGAGAGCTACTATCTATCCCCAGCTGCAGCAGAGTCTGTACACAGTCAGCGTTCCCTGCTGCTGCAGCCCAGTGCAGAGGCGTCCTAGGGAAAATATGGAACAAATTAATGACCCAATGAGAACTATTTCAGTATTACTTAGCCCGCATCTACACAGAGTGCATCCACTAGTGCTCTCAATGATGTGGTGGTAAAAATGCTTGTGGTTGATCTACATTAACACTCCATGATTGCTAGCACTGGTGGATCTGAACTAGGGAAAGAACTGCCTAAAATTCTCAGTGTGGAGTTTGAAGAAAAGCTTTCTAGTCTCCATTGTCCAGTGGCAAATCCTTCCCACCTCTGCACTGGACCCATCTGTGAGGGTGTAGGGGAAAGGATGCTCTCTCTAGCCACAGAGCAGTAGTGGATTTACTCTGCAACTGCTACTTCATCCATCAGACTGCAGTAGCTTCTTTTGCTGCCGTGTTCCTATTACATAGTGGACGATGATCAGCAGAAGACCCATACAGAGGCAGATCCATTTTCTAAATCACGCTGTCCTGATCCTTTTTTGTGTAGGGGAACCTATCTGATTTTCTGCAACCAGGAACCTCTGAAGTCACAGTGAAAGAAGCATTATTTGGGCCTAGGGTCTAGAAACTAATATTTGGGCTCAAAATTGTAACATTACCCAGAAAAACCACAGCTTATATTTCTCAAATTGAAACAAGCTGCAAGGTACAGAACATGCCAAATAAGAAAGACTGTGAATGACGATAGGTGAATATAAGAGGAAATGTGTGAACATGGTGCAACCCACTAATTTCAAATGAGCGTAACAGGGAACAGAACTGAAAGGACAGCTAATGAGGGTTTACAAGGCATTGTCCAGTCTCCAACATGGTATCCGTTAAAGGAAAACGTGAGGGAATTTAATAGAATTTTTTTTTCTCATTTACATATTGAAGATGTTTAGGGTAAAATCTGTAGAATCCTGTTGGTTTAATCTCTATTAAGTTTTATAGGACTTTTCCATAAAGAATTAAATGTGTAAATCCTAAAGGAACAATCCTGCTCCCACTGAAGCTAGTGCGACTTTTGACATTGACTTTATGGGGAATAGAATAGGCCCATAATTGAACTAAGTCTGAGAGCTGTTACTGACAGCCCTCGGGTTCTAGTCTTACTGAACTCAATGCCAGAACTCCCATCGACTTTGATGGAAACAGGAGTGGGACCCTAAACAGTAAAGAGGAGGAATCTTCTGCATGTACAATACAATGGTGCAAAATGCTTCCTATGAGAATGGGAGATGAGGTTCTCAGCATCTTGGAAAATTAGGCTCTAACATCTTAGAATAGTAAGGGTGAAAGACTGCATCCACCAAAATCAATGGGAGTTTTGTCATTGACTTCAATGGGGCCAGGGCTTCACCCCAAAGTTGTAGGTTCTTGTTCTGGTATTTTGGAAGAAATGCCTAATTTTAGCGAATCAAACAGTAACAACCCCCTGTATATAATCACCATCTTTTCCTTCCAGGAATAGCATAAAAAACCATTTACATGAGTCAGCAGTTCTATAAATATCATGGCCTGATTTCCAGAGTCGCTAAGCACACACAATTCTCAGAAAATGCAGTTAAATTAAATAGGTCATGCCCTGTAGAACAGGAAACATGATTATTAAACAGACATTCTTAGGCTCAGGTAATACAATGGGACTTAGAGCTGGGGGTTTCCAGCACTTTCAGTACATTTCCATGGGTACCTGTCATCCACATCAAGGGCCTGTAGATTGCACTCCGGGACTCTAGCCAGCTCACTGATAATGTCACTGTAACCTGCAGCAGCAGCAATGTGCATACACGTCTTCCCATTCTCATCATCATAGTTTATTATCGATGGACCCTGGTGATGGTTCAGAATGATGGAACACAGAATCCTGTTTCCACTCTGGAAAACAAGTAAGGGGAAGAGAAGCATTTAACAATGAAGCACATGTTAGACTGTGCTGTCTATTCTTGGGAGGAATAAATACAATTTCAGATTTGAGAATTCCTGCCCCTCCCAAAATTGTCTGGTTTGTGAGTTTTCTAGAATGCCTCTGGGCATTGTAGAAATAACAAATAAGGTACCATAATAGAAATATCCAAAGACAGACAGCATATAAACATCCATTAATACTTTCTCAGAAATGTTTTGATTTTTATGAAACACAGAATTTAGAGGGATACAAACATGTATTTGCATGTGTCCCTTTGAAGAGCATTTACATTTTCCTCTCTGTTTTTAATCAAGACTATACAAAATAGTATAAACCCCCAGATTGGCTTAGGCTCTGTTATTCCCTTCTCTCGGTTCCACACTGGGGGTCTTAACTTGGGACTAAATTCTGCACCCCTTCATCGTGGTGAGTTGTACTTATATAAATAGTTCCAGTGACTTCAATGGGATTACAATTGTAAGTACTGCTCAGCAAGAGTAAGGAACAGAGAGTTGGACCTTTGATGATTACTGTTTTACAACCTTGTTTAACAATTAGTTTGTGTTCCGTGCAATGGTACTTTATCAGTTGGCATTTTTCCAGTTTATTTAGAAGCTTATAATGTGATAATTAACTGATGGCCACATTGAAATCCAAATATACAATATCCACTGGCTTCCTGTTATCTGCCAAATGGCTAACTGCATCAAAGATAACAAACCTGAGCAGTGTGTTGATTGGAATCTTTTCTCCCAAATAATGACACAATGGCTCCCTTAAAATATGTCTGAACATTTCATCCAATTGGCCAATGGTTTTCTAATTTTTCCTCCTTAAAAGTATAGTTCTTCATTTGCCTTTTAATTTTTATAGTCATCAGGTACTTTTTATAGTCATCAGGTACTCTATTGAAAATTCCTCATCTCAGTCTTTTAAAACATTAACTTGCCCCTCTCTAGAACTGGCAGTTTCTGTATTTTTTAATGATCACTTTAATTACCCTGGATCCCTTTTGTTGAATGCTGAGCAAAACAAGGTATTTGAGATTACTGTTATTTTGTAGTCCTAACTAATTTTGCTTCTTATTCTGGAATGGTCCTGTGCCCACTGCCCCTAATATTTCTCTTTTTCTGAGGTATTTCCTGTAAATCCAGAAGATCCGGTCACATGAGGATTTCACGTGTGGAAGACTCCTTGGGTGGTGTACAACCTATGCACACTTCTTCATCTACACCAGCATAGAGGAAGCATGGCTGAGACATCTCTACTCCTGGTGTTCCCAGGCTGCCACAATACCCTTTGGGATTGGAAGCCAGTAAAAAGTAAAGCAGCCCTGAGGCTGCTGTACTTTATGTTGGGGACAGGATGGGTGCAGCCCAGCATTTGGGAATGTAAAGGTGCTTTAACACCATCTCCACATTTCTCCCCTCCCCGATGCTTAACCAAATACTACTTGGACACAGCTCAGAAACTGGGCCTATGAATTCATGGGATCTGATTATGGATTTCACACCAATGTAAATTAAGAATAACTCCACTGAAGTCAATGGAGTTATACAGATGAGAATCAGAATGAAGCCTGTATACTTCCCAAGTGAATCCATGATGTCATTTGTTTGCCCGTATCCTTGATGCTTCATCCTCAAAGCACCCACTGATGCAGTGACTCTTACAGAACCATACTGTCCTAATGTGGTTTTGTTTTGTGCCACTCTTGGGGAGAGATTGTATTGTGCAAAAAACTCTGCTGTAAGGGCCCTGAAAACACTACAGACAAATATTTGTCACTGGATCAGTTAGCAGACGTATTTCTAAAATAACTATCCAGCCATAATCATATTACAGTGGAACCTCAAAGATATGAACACCAGAGTTACGGACTTACCGGTGAACCAGACACCCTCTGGAACCAGAAGTCAATCAGGCAGCAGCGCAGACACAAAAAAAGCAAATACTGTACTGTCTCGGGGCTTTAGCCTTGAAGTTCAGGACTTCAGCCATGGGAGGTCAGAGCCTAGCTGCAGGGGGGTGGGGCAGTCAGGGCTCTGGGCTTCTAGCGCTCCAGGCTAGAGTGCTCCAGGCTTAGACGGGAGTAGGGGGAGCCCCGTAGCTGCGCTCCTGGTTTCAGCCCCGTGCCGGGGTTCAGGGCTTTAGCTACAAGGGGGCACTGGTTTCAGCCCGAGTGCTCCCTCCGTAGCTAAAGCCCTGAGCCCTGGTGTGGGTCCCCACCCGTTGAAGCAGGGAATGGAGCCGTGGAGAGCCCTGGCGCCGGTCCCCACCCATTGAAGCAGGGAGCGGAGCTGTGGAGAGCCCCGAACCCTGGCCCCCCTGAGGGGGCTGAAGCCGTGGTTGGAGCCATGGGGCTGAAGCCCCAACCGCAGCGCTCCCCCCAAAGTCTAAAGCACTGAGCCCCAATGCTCCTGCGTGGCAGAAACCCTGAGCCTCCGTCCCGAGAGTCAGAAGCCCCAACTTTCCCTCCCTGTCCTGAGCCCTGGCTCCTCCCACCCTGCGGATGCAGCACCAGCCCTGCATGTCACTGAAGTCCATAACCTCTTCTTCAGAGTTACAGACCATTTCATTTCTCCATTCCTGAAGTGTCCATAACTCTGAGTTTCTACTGTATAGCCTTTGTGCTTTCCAAAAGCTACCAAATGACCAAGGATTCCTTGAGGAAAAGCTATCTGTCTGAAGTGTTGGTTTGTCCCTGTCTTTGTTGTAAGTATTGTTCAAATAAAAGTTGTATGAAACACTGACATTGTCTATTTGACACCTTATATGTATATGGAAATTTCTGTAAAGAGGGCACAGGGTTTATCAAGTACTACGATTATGACTAAAACGAGTTGCGATCTTTCTCCCTTTTAGCACAGTATTGTGTCAACTGGTTTCTGTGGATGAATTATGGTGTGGTTTTAACAAATGAGTGTGCTCCTGCGGGTTCTTTATTCTGTACTACAAAGCAGCAGAACTTTCCATTATTTTTGTTGTTGAGGATTCATTTGTTGGTACCCGAGGAGAAGATGAGTCATGATGCTGCATTTTGATAAGATACAGAAAATTAAAACATGTGGGCATTCAAAAGGTGTGGGGGCATGCCCCTTACTTATGTTCTGGCATTCAGCCAGGGGGCTACACACAGACCATCTGCAAAGAAGATGTCTGTTAATCATCTGTTATTCACCTGTTGTTTCTGTCACATGGCTCCATCCCATTACTATTGAATAGTCTGGCAGTCAGTGGCTCATCTAGGGGTTAGATCACAGCTGGCCCTGCCTGTGTACTCTCTGGATTACTGTTACCATCAGTGATGCTAGGCACATTGCAGGGAACATGGAGGTGTCATGACCCCATTCCTCTTCCACGGTAGCTGGTGGACTGGAAAAACGACATGGCATGTCTTCAGTTGAAGGGCCTGCATTTAGGGGGGAAATCATCTAAGCTCTGGTTAGTTGTTTTGATGACCTGATTACGCTAGTGAGGTTATAGCTGAATACTGAGATCCAGAGCAGTGGACAAGCCCCTTTGTTTATTATAAATCAAAATAAATAAATGTGTATATTCAAAGGCAGAGGCACATTTTTGAAAAGTCCCTGTAAGAACAGATGTAAATAGCTTTTATTTACTTAAATTCTCCTTATTTGCAATTCTTTATTATTCACTGTTTGAACATCAACAGCCCGACTGTTCAGCCCTCACTTCTGTAGAAAAAAAAAAACAAACTATCCCTGTCAGAAGTCCCTTTCACTTCAATGGGAGGACACTATTTGCATGAGGAAAGATCGCGGATGTGAGTACGTTGAAGAATGAGGGAACTGAAGGGTGAGGCTTGATTCAGATTTTTTTAAAAAAATTTAGAACTTAGAAATTTTTTTTAAAGTTAAATAGTCACCCCAAGCCTTAGGCATTCCTGGGAAAACACATGAAACCAGCAGACAGCAAGTTAAGTTTAAAAATGAAAAAGTTGTCTGAAAACACAAGCAAACTCTACCTAGCAAAGAGAAAAGGAGTACTTGTGGCACCTTAGAGACTAACCAATTTATTTGAGCATAAGCTTGCGTGAGCTACAGCTCACTTCATCGGATGCATACTGTGGAAAGTGTAGAAGATCTTTTTATACACATAAAGCATGAACAAATACCTCTTCCCACCCCACTCTCCTGCTGGTAATAGCTTATCTAATGTGATCACTCTCCTTAAAATGTGTATGATAATCAAGGTGGGCCATTTCCAGCACAAATCCAGGGTTTAACAAGAATGTCGGGGCGCGGGTGGGGGGGTAGGAAAAAACAAGGGGAAATGGTTACCTTGCATAATGACTTAGGCTTGAATAGAGACTGGGAGTGGCTAAGTTAATTGTATCCAATTTGCAAATGAATTCAAATCCAGACTCCAGCGAGAAACTGTTGAATTTGAATTCATTTGCAAATTGGATACAATAACTTAGGCTTGAATAGAGACTGGGAGTGGCTAAGTCATTATACAAGGTAACCTATTTCCCCTTGTTTTTTCCTAAGCCCCCCCGCCCCCGACGTTCTTGTTAAACCCTGGATTTGTGCTGGAAATGGCCCACCTTGATTATCATACACATTGTAAGGAGAAAAGGAGTACTTGTGGCACCTTAGAGACTAACCAATTTATTTGAGCATGAGCTTTCGTGAGCTACAGCTCACTTCATCGGATGCATACCGTGGAAACTGCAGCAGACTTTATATACACACAGAGAATATGAAACAATACCTCCTCCCACCCCACTGTCCTGCTGGTAATAGCTTATCTAAAGTGATCATCAGGTTGGGCCATTTCCAGCACAAATCCAGGTTTTCTCACCCTCCACCCCCCCACACAAATTCACTCTCCTGCTGGTGATAGCCCATCCAAAGTGACAACTCTTTACACAATGTGCATGATAATCAAGTTGGGCCATTTCCTGCACAAATCCAGGTTCTCTCACCCCCTCACCCCCCTCCCA